GAAAGTAATTCAGACGGGGGTCCATGTGAGTCAGGTGAAGGGAGACGAACAGATGGAATGGTGTTACGCACAAGGGTGAGGAGGCCACGAGCCTGCCCACGGTACCGAGGCAGGGTGTAAACAGTATAGCCAGAGAGGCGGAGTGGAGTAACATCGTCTGTGATGGTTTCCTGAAGTAGAGCAACATCTACTTGATGGGAGAGCACAAACTGGGCGAGGTCTGTCCGGCGAGGTCTAAGTCCCTGGATGTTCCATTGTAAGAAGAGGAGGGAACGGCCTCCGGTGTGAGATGAGTCGGAGGGGCTAGACAGGGCTCCAGAGGAGGTACCAAATTCTGTTGAGAAAAATGGAGAGGGAGGAGTGGGAGAGCGAGGGATGGATCCTCCATCTCGGGAGATGGAAGGAGGCGGGTCATCAGGGCTTGCAAAGTGCGCCCCTGTTGGGTCAGGGTGTCCAGAATGAGTTGTTGTTGCCTCTGCAATGTCGCAATTGTTTTCACAAACAAGTCGAGTTGGGCAGAGAGAAGGTTGATTTGCTTGGAGTGGCGATCCAGACGGAGAGTGATTGTTTCCATAGAACCAACTTGGTGTACCTGTACAGGAGCTGGAGGTGGCGGCGAGGATTGCCGAGGGCCCGACTGGGCATGTGGTGGTGGTAGCGACGGAGAGGGACGGTGAGGGTTCAGTTGAGTAAGAGGTGGTGGTGCTGGTGAGAGACAGCGGGGGTCCGGGTGGGCAGGAGATGGTGGTGACTGTGTGGCAGGGCCGGCAACGACCTTGTTCCAAGAACGGTAGGGAGAGGGAGGGAGGGGAGAAAGGATGGGTGGTAGGGGTGATAGGGGGGATGGTAGAGGAGAGGAGATCAATGGGAAATCCTTGGTGGATGGAAGAGGCGGTGGTGGATAGGAGTGAGGTTTGGTTGACAGGGGCTTCGTCAGAGACGAGGGCGGTGGTACAAGGTAAGTTTTCCCCGGGCGAGTGCCAGGACGCTGTGGGCAATTGGCATTCCAGGCGTGGTGACTGCCATGGCAATTGACACACCGTGGAATAACTGGGATTTTGTTCTGAATTTTCGATTTGCATTCCACTGTTTCGTGAGGACCTGCACAGAAATCGGTCGAGAGGACAGTTGTGAATTGGTCCTACATTCACCTTCGGAGGGAGGGGGCCCACCCACCAGCCGATGAGTTCGTTGGATGGACGTTTGGAGACCGGGTTGATGCGGCGTTCCATGTCCAGTAGTTGTGGGAGAAGAGGGCGAAGATCGTCGATAGGGATCTCCCAGGGTACGTGGCGAACCATTACCTTGGTACGACGAGTTTCTGGGGTGATGATGGTGAACTTCAGCATCACCTCCCCCTGGGGAGCAGGAAAGCCCACCTGAGTGAGCAGGCGTACCGTCTCGTCCATTTGTGTGGTGACTATCACGGCTGTGGGACCTCGGCGGAGGCGAAGTGTTGAGTCCTGAAGTGGAGAGCAGTGACGGAAGAACCAGGTCGTCCGTGTGCTCAGAGGCAAGTCCCGAGGAAAGGCGAGACGACGAAGGCGCGACGGGGCAGGGAGACAAAGGGAATCCCCTATGTCCATCGTCGGCGGAGGGTCGGTCATTGAGCCACATGTAAGCTCACTTGGGGACCCCGATGACAGGAGGAGTCCACCCTCTACAGCCCCAGAAGGGGTGCAAGGGGGAGCCGTGGCCCCTGCTGGAGACCCTGACTTCTGAGGTTTCTGCTTCTTCTTTGACGTTTCTTCAAGAAGAAAGTCGTCAGCATCACTGTCACCTACTGCCGCCGTTTCCAACAAACGGGAGCGTTTAACGGCGGGCTTAGGGCACGTTGGCAACACTGCAGTCAGGTGGAGTGGTAATGACGTCACTGCTACGTCACGCTATCACATTGCGCATGCGCAAACTTGAAAGACTTTGCTCAGAGGGATCGGGTGGTAGGACCAGATGTTTTATCCCCAAAAAATGACAAAGTCTGAAAGTAAAAAAAAATATATGCCACTGTGCTGATAACTGGGTCTTACTATAGTTGTCTGCACAGGCTGGGATTGGTAGACTCACTGAATTCGTTCAGAAATACGAATTTTAAGGAGCAGTCTCTAACAGCCTTTGTTGACACTATGCACGCATGCGCATTCCCTGAGCTTGTAATTAGCTGATATATTTAGAGAGAGGTACAGCCTGGAGAGCTGGTCTCACGACACTACTATAGGGCATTGTATCAGGCTGTGAACTGTTGAGAACTGGGCTGAACTCTCTTGAGTTTGGTGGTTGGAGAGTAACCACACTTCAACACAGCCATTAACTAAACAGCCTACCCACACACTTGAGTCTGTAGTTTTATGGGCTATACACCCGAGAAGGTGTGAAAGAACAAATGTTTATGGGCTGTCCACCCAAGGAGATGTGAAAGAACAAATGCTTATATAGCTGTATGCTCAGTAGTCTGGGTGATAGAATGTATATAATGAATAATTGAAAATGTCATTAGCTCATATTTGTATAATATTAATGTGACAGGCTAATACATTCGTTACCAGTCACTACTATCTCGCTTAATCTATTTTCTTCACTATCTCTGTATATAGTCAGTGCCTCGGGAATCATGTTTAAATTTTCAGTATGAAACTGTTGAAAAACATTTATTCAGATTATTGCTCATTTCTCCGTCGTTATCAGTTAGCTCGCCGGTATCTGACTGTATTGGTCCAATCTTATCTCGTGTTTTAGTTTGATACATCTGAAAGAATCCCTTGGGGTTTGACTTTGCCTCCCTTGCTACCTTCAGTTCATTATTCCTCTTTGCTTTTCTTATCTCGGTTTTAACTCTACTGGCCAATACCTTATAATAATCTCGGAGGTAAACTTCACCGCGATTTATTCTTCTACCTATAGCTTTCCTTTGTCCAATAATATTCTTTAAATAATTATTTATCCATTTAGGGTCATTGTTGTCTGATATGAATTTTCTGTATGGTATGTTCTGCTTTTGTGCATTAAGTAACTCATTATTTAAATTGTTGTGGAACTCGTCAACCTCAGATCTCGTGATCAGGTCATTCTCAACCGTCCTATTTAGTGAGGATCTCATTGTCAGGTCTCCAGGTAAAGTGAGCTCGCCCTCTGTGGGTATCTTGTGTGAGGTCATGTAATCCTTCCCCAAACGTGATACCCCCTTCTCTTAGTTGCCTTTTCGACCTGCCTTTAAATTCAAATTGAAATGTCATTTCTTCATGATCATTGTTGGCAAGTTTGTTCCCTGCCTCGACATTACTAATGAGGTTTTCTCTGTTTGATAGAACTAAATCGAGTATATTATTACCCCGGGTGGGTTCAGTTATATGTTGACTTAGGAAACTGTCCTGAAATGTTTCAACAAAATCCTCTGATTCTGAGTTACCTGTAAGGTCGATCCAATCTATTTGACAAAAGTAAACGTCGCCCACTATATAGACTTTGCTGTCTGGAAGCCCTGCGCATTTCATCCCAAATAAGTCGCTCATTAACTCTTATCAAGATTAGGAGGTCTATATATTACTCCTGCGATTAATTTTTCTCTACCATCGATTAATTCTATCCAAATTGTTTCTGTATTCAGTTGTTTTTATTTCCTTATTTATTTCACACTTCAGATTATCCCTGACATAGATTGCTACTCCGCCTCCTTTCCTAATCTACCCTTTGGTATGGAATAATTTGTAACCTGTAATTTGGTATTTGACAGGTAACTCACTTGAGTAAGTTTATCCATGTTTCGGTTAATGCTATTATATCGATTTTTTCAGTACATACCAACGCCTTGATTTCACCCATTTTGTTTCTTATACTCCTACTGTTTGCGTAGTAGACATTTAAGTTAGTCGTGTTCTGAGTCCTCTCTTTGACCCGTTTAGGTTTTAACTCCCTGCCTAATTTAGTTTTGTCATCATTCCAAGCAACATTTCCCTGTAACCTTTCACTGTGTTTACCCACTCCCACTGCAGTCTCCTCCACCTCTGTGTCCATATGTTCCCCGAGCAATTTAAAGACTTCGACATCTTTTGAACTGCCCTCTCAAGAGAGCCAGCCAGGGTTGCCACCCTATCCCCAGACAGATGCACCCCATCCCTAGCATAAAGGTCCCTTCTGCCTTAAAATTTGTCCCAGTAGTCAATGAATGGGACTGATATTGACTTGCAATATCTGTCAAGATGGCTGTTGACACCAACTGCCCTTGACAACCATTCATTGCCAACTGTCTTGAACTTATCAAGAAGCTCCTCACTCCTACACCAGCAAATATCATTGCCTCCTGCACTTAGGCAGATAATGGGTTTGTTCCCATTACCTGACCAGATATTGTCCATCCTGTCAACTATATCCCCTGCCCCAGCTCCTGGTAAACACACCCTCATCCTATTTTTATTTCTACCACAAAAAGCTCTATCCAGGTACCGTACCTGGGAATCACCAACAATTAAGGTTTTTGTACCATCTTGTTCTTGACTATGCTAATGTCCAATTCATCTATCAAAGGACTAAAAGAGTTTTTACACTTAGCTGTTGTTGTTTCCTTGGTTTCTTTTCTCACTACCATTTTGGTCGTTCCTCTCCTCACAACCTTCCATTCGCCTGAGTTTTCGTCAGACACGGGCTTCCCTTGTCTCGTGTCTTCTTCCTTCATCCTCCTTCACCCTCAGAAGGGTACATCCCTGTTCACAAGTAACACTAGCCATTACCAACAATTTATCTCCGGGAGCTAAGTCTGCCGTGACCTTTCCTCTAGCGAGGCACTGAAAAGATAGTGAGGGAAATGGAGGTCCACTTCCAATGCAATAACAGATGGGCATTTGCTTGTGCTGCATGCATTTAACTCTTATATCGTCCACACAAGTCAGACCCTAGTCCAACTAAAGGGTGTTTCTAACTTAAGGAGGTCCAACTTAGGAGGGTCTTCATACATTACATCAAGTACAAGTCAGCTGAACAATGCATAACAAAATATTTATTTTTCTCAGGAGGCGTGATGAGTGGAATGACATGGTCGTGGATAGATCTACGGGGCAAATGTAGGAATGTGTGGTGGCTCGAGGGAAACTGCAGCCTGATGTCCACTTAGCACCTGTCCATAAAGATCCATGGGTCGCAGCAAGTGAAGTTGCTTGCCCAAGGAATTGGTTGAGTGATGCACATGTTGATCATGCCCAGCATTTATTAGGTAGCCGTTTCCCTTTGATCTCGTGATTTCAGTCCACTTGTTTTTTACAGCAAAAACTGTATGCACGTTCAGGCTCCTGTGAATAATTTTTTTCAGGTCTTGAATGTGCATAAGAAAGACTGGCTAACACTCCGTAAAATTGAGTGTAATAATAACACTCAGAGTTTGACAGTTTGAGTGGCAGTGGACTGCAAAATTCTGAGGAGTTTAATTGCCAGGTGGTTGCCTTGTTAAATTGTTAAAGTCCAAGAATTAGAGTAGAGTATGCAAACATCACACAGCAGAGAGGATATTCTGACTGTGGTTTGTTTGCAATTGCCTGTACCACAGCAGCTGACCATAGTCAGGTCATTGGGTAAGATGACCCAACCTTCTCACCTTTCCCTATGACCTGACTACGGACAGCTGCTGTGCTTAGAGATGGCATGGTCAATTTCTTTGGATTAAGAAGATTAGTAAGGGTCACTGCCTTATGACTGGAACATTATGGACCCCTGCTGTCCCCTAGGGACTTGATCTCACTCTCCTCTACTGTATATATATTTTGTATACAGTATTGAGGAGATTTATATATTTATGGATTCATTTTTATTATAGATATACTGTACAGTAATCTTTGTGTTATATTTTCTCTATTAAATCTCGAATGTACATCTTTGTATTTTTATTATATGAATAAATGTAGTGCAACCTTAACTTTTGGAAATGGTCTTTATTTATGGCCGAAAGTTCGGAAACAACCACAGTATTGTATTTTAAGATGTCATTTTCATCATTTTAACCAACTTTTGAATGTAAAACTCCACAGGACTATATTTTTAGTTATCTGTTGGTATTCCCAGGATTGGTGAAGGACTGGCGGTTAATGCGAACAAAAGTCAAACTTGGGTTGTAGAGAGAGATGGTTTAGTGTGTCATCTACAGGTGAATGGGAAATGCTAGAAGTAGTTGAAGATTTGGTGTGGCGACCCCACCACATGAGAGATTCTGTGGTCAACCTCATAACCCCTTCTTTAATAATGAGGGCAGCTCTGGGTTAGGAGCCCGCCTTCCCAGAAGAAGCTCAATGAATGAGCCTCTGACCTGGATCCTCTGCCTGTCGGGGGCTCAGGAAAGTCAGGCTGTGTGGAATGTAAGAGGAATAAATGATGAGAGGAAGTGATGGAAGCGCACAAAAGAAGACCGTTAAGTGTGTTCGGTCTGTGAAAAGCTGAAAGGAAGAGTGGATGGAGTGAGTGCCAGTGCAACCAGGTGGAAGGAGGGAAAGTGTGGGTGTGCTTATTTATGATGTATGGGCCAAGTGTATGTTTGATTTTACACCTGTCTGCATTTTAGGAAGAGTTGAATGTTTTAAAACTGAGATTTGATTCTAGTTCGTTTTTCATCAAGGATTTCAAAAATAAACTTTGTTTTGCTCTCGTACTTCACACTTTATTACCAATGAGACAAGATAATATAACTAATAAATATACAGTACAAATATGACAAGATAATACAAATAAGGCAATTCAGTAGGCTTCAATGTTAACTAAACCTAAAGATTATTGTGATTTAGGCTATTTGTCTGCAAATACAGAAAGAAATGATATGTATGAACATGATAATAGGCTTCTAGGATGGGTGAAACTTTTTTTTTCTGTCAATCTTTTCACTGGCACAATCTCTCTTCAGCATCCAGCAGTAGTCTGCCATCATGTTCACATTCCACCTTCCTTGATACCTCTTTTCCATTGCCTTAATGTCCTGGTGAAATGTTTCACCTTGCACTTCACTTAAACTACCCAAATTTTCAGGAAAAATTTTAAAATGGGAATGTAAAAAATGCACTTTTACACTCATATTGCAACCTATGTTTTTAAAGTTATTCAACATACCTTCAACAATGTTTTGATAGTTTACCATATAAGACACTTTTTTTTTAATGTATCATATTACCCTGGGTCAAATGTGCCCGTATTACGGATGGGAGGCTGAGCGCCATAGGCGGAGGTGCCTAGCTAGGGAGTCTGGGACGAGCAGTAGTCCACTAAGCACTAAAATTGTGTTACTAATAATAAAATACTGAAAAGCAAGTAAAATTATCACAAACTTACGGCAAATTTGCCAAAAACGTAAATAATGGCTTACATTGGCTTAACGGCAGAGGGAAGTTCACAACATCTCGCTGTACCTCCTTCCCCAGCATACGTAACCCACACCAGATACATGTCTTACATTATTTAATGACTATTACCTTTAAGAAACAGTTGTTTATTTTCTAAATGAAAAATGCCTCTAGAAAGATTAAAGAAATGTTAACAGAAAGTTCAGCTGCCAGTCAGCTGTTTCCTATGAGTTGATGCCAAAACAATGAGGATGGTGCTACACCCTGGTGGTAGATCGCGGCAACACAAAACATCATGGCTAAAAATACGAGTTTCACATCCTGTCAGTAATTCTCTTGACCAAAATATAAACAAGCCACACAGCTGCTCTGATCAGAGGTAGAGTTGGGTTAGTATAATGTTACTATATATGATTTCCTACTTGATTCCAGTATATATTGCATTAACTCTGCACAAAATCATATGTTTTCCCCTACAAAACCACTTTAAAATCACTTTCAATAATTGTATGATGAAACATACTAAAAAAAAATTTCCGCAAAATATCCTTGTAAAATAGGGGTGCGTCTTATATGCCAGCAAATATGGTAGATCTTTTCTATTGCCTAAAAAACTATACACAACATTCTTAAAACTATTCCATGCTTCTTTCTCACACTGGTTCATCGATTATTCAAATTGGTGGTCCAACATTAACTTATGGATTTGAGGGCACACGAAAATGCCAGCTCCGATTTTTTCATGTGACTGATGGAAATTCCCTGCATATGTACCTGAAACAATCATTTTCTTAGGGTCAATCAATGGTTCATGTAGAATATGTTTTGAACCTGGCACAAGAGCCTGTCTAGGTGGCCAGTGTTTTTTGTCCAAATGTTCACGTCTTGCTCTGCTGTCTCACTCACACAAAAAACATGACCAAGCAACAAAGCAATAACTTTGAAATCTCCACAAACCAACCAACCATGAACTTTCTCTAGAAGTATCTGCAAACTTTCATAAGTTTCCTTAAGATGAACAGAGTGAGCCACATGAATTGATGAAAATACATTTCCATTATGAAGTAAAACTCCTTTGAGACTTGTTTTTGAAGAATCAATGAACAACCTCCATTCAGTAGCTGTATAAGTAATGCAAAAATAGTTGACTAAAGAAGACACATTATTACAATAAACCAAGAGCCTTCCTCTGAAAAAAATTGAACTACCTGTAGTTCTTGTTCACGTTGCCTATACAGTGGTCCCTCGGTTAACGAGCACAATCCGTTCCAGCAGGTTGCTCGTTAACCGAAACCATTGTTTCAATGGGTTTTTGAGTAATTGGTTCCAGCTCACCGAAAATTGCCTAAATTCAACAAAAAAGGTAGAAAAGTGCACTTACTTTGAGGTGTGTATGTAGAAGGCTCCTGGATGATGATGATGATGGGAATTAGAATGGGGGTGGAGGAGAAGAGAAGGCATTGGGGTGGAAGAGACGTCACCCCATGGCGCCATTTCACCCAAAAAATTTTAGTTCTCTTGGTGTAATTCAAGATTATTTTCTTAAAATCAACACTGTACTGCATTATATATTGTCAATATGTAAAATAAATTTCAAAATGACCAATAATTTGCTTGCAAACACAGAATAAAAGCGTTTAGTTGAAGAGAGTCTCAAGCAAGATGTTACCTCCATTGAAAAGACAGAGACTGGCACCTGTTTGGTGTGTTGAGAGGCTGGATGGCGCACATGAAACTGGTTTCCTTACCTTCAATTATGTTCAATTATTGTTAAAATGACTAAAAAATTTAATATTAAACTTTTAAAATTATTGAATAGTATAAACTTCTTGATATTTACTACAATAGTAAGGAATTTAAGCCCTAAAACCGATTACTGTATTGGCGGATTTATACTACAGCTGGTGGACCGCCAAATGCAAGCGAAAACATGTTGAGGTCGGCTCGTAAAAAACTCGTTAATCGAGGGATTGCTAGTTAACCGAAGTTAAGAATCTTATGGAAGGTAACTCGTTAACCGAGGGATCACTGTACTACCAAGAAATTTCTGTGATTTCAACCTAGATCCTTAAAGTTCAGCAGACTCCTTTGGTAAATTCAAATCCCTAACCAGATTGTTAAGTTCACTCTGGGTAACTCCTCCGGTACATCACTAATATCCTCACGTTGATAAACATCACTTCCGTTATCTGACGATGAATCACTGTCAGTTTCTGATGACACGGACTGCAACACATCTGACGGAATGGGGACTGGAACCTCAGGACCATGTGGCAGATGGAATCTTGGGATAAATTATTCCTTGTTTATTTTTTTGCATTATGTATATCCCTCTATCTTCACAGAGCAAAAAAACAGTCATCACCATGAATTTTGGGTTCCCGCCAAACCATAGGGACTCCAAATTGCATAGCTTTTTTCTTACCATATTTCCACAGTCTTAAACCTTCAACACGAGTGCGACATACTTTATTTAAATCACCTATTTTCACTCCAAAGTAGGCAAAATATGCATTTTTCACGAATCCGACAATTTCTTGTCGTTGCCTTTGCACAACAAAGCACCCACATATGTAGCAGAATACGTTTGGATTGTTCAAACATCCACGAGAAGACATATTTACAACAGGAATAGTATCTTAGTAGAGCAAAACAAGGAGATTAACACTACATCCACAAGGAAAGGAAACAACTTGATTAGGTAATTCAATAAATGATTCTTCTCACGACTTGTAATAGGAGCCCTATACACAGCACCAATTAGAATATTTCCTTTTCATAATGATCTCACACTAGACCACTTTATCTTACAAATGACATGCCGTTTTATTATACAAATGAGCATTCAAGAAATTTACATTGTCTACAAGAGAAATTAGAAAATTCTTCACTAATATAACCACACCTTTACCAGGTTCATTCTGCACGCCATCAAATTTACTATTTAACTTTCACAAAAAAAAAATGATGGACTCTTATGTTTACCAGTAAATTAATTTAAAAAAACTAAATTAATTATAATTGTATTATCAGAGTTTACTAGCCAATTAAACCACTTATGCACTGGACTGGTATTTATTTATCTTCCTTTATTATCTATACAGTATTTTATAATATTTCTGGATTCACTGCATTTTCACTTCCAACTCAGTAGCCATGGCGAGCGCACGGAACTCTCATGAGTTTTGGAGAGTTTATTGAACATTATAAGCAGTTTCCATCATTGTGGCAAATAAAACGTGAAGATTACAAGAAAAGTTCTCTTAAACAAGAATGTTAAGGGAAATTAGTGGAAAAGATGAAAGAAATCATCCCTACTGGCCTGTTGCTAGGAACCGCAGTGTACTAGACCCTTACTA